ATGTATGCTCGCTAAACTTTGCCCATGTGTGCGTGTGTCAGTGCTTAGTGGCATATGCAATCTGCAGGACAGGACCGTGATTGTGCAAAACTAAACCGAAGAGAACAGGAAGGGCAGAGAAGGTTTGAATAGTTTGTGTGCTGTAAGGCATGCAAGGCAAACATAACAACTACAACAGTACAATTTTTTGGCCATGTGTCTACGTCAAAATCAGTAAAATGCAAATTCAATGTTAACAATTGTAGAAATGTCCAAGCCATCCGCCGTCGAAATAACCAATCTGGTCTCTCCGTACTGTCCTGTCACTTCTAGATCTTACAAGCTGGCATTCCGCAATGCAATTTGAAACAACGCATGCTTGTAAGTAGGTTGAGAAATTTTGGAACTACCCATTACCAATATAGAATAGAGTAGTACATACTAAAAAGGTAGGTACTATCTCCAGTAAATATTGATTAATAGTCCGAATAGCCATTCCAGCCCGTCCATCTTACTGTATATTTATTTATTTAAATATATTTACATTTGCATCAATTCTTAACCTAAGTTCAGAAACCCCTTTTGTTTTTATTAACATAACATCAGGTTATATTTTGGTTTAAATCTTTAAAATGCTATGAACCTTCAAATGTTCCTGAATTTTGGTAAGCAAATTTTTTTTTAGTTTTCCCTACGTAAATTAACGTAACGCAAGAATAAAAATGCCTATATTAAAAAAAAAGTACGCTGCTTTACATATTACATACATAAATATGTACATATGTATTTTCCTACAAGCAAACATAATCCATCGCCTCAATAGAAAGGCTTTAAAAATCGTTCATTGCCAAGTTCCAAGAGGACCAAATTTATTTTGATGTACGGATCATTGCGCTTTAATCCATTTTATTTATGACTTTAAATTATTCTTTGGTAAGGCACACACAACTATAACGGCGACCAACAACAGAAAAAAACATACTCGTAATCCTTTGTCCGCATTGGAGCAGATTTAACAATCGTCACAGCACACCCGCTCACACAGACACTAGAGGATACAAAATGAAGTTGCAAAAACCGCTCTCCCCCAACAAACTTTGACTGCGACCACGCAACCAATGCTCTCGGTTTCGCATCGTCCTTAGCCTGTCAGTGTAATCTGCCGGGAAAATTACATAAAAATCATCAAACGCCTTACCAAACCCGCTGATTACCTCCTAACAGAATACCACCGCATTATCAATGAACCCTTCGATGCGGAGAGGTGATACCTGTATTATTACGAGTATGTCGCATAGTATTCTAGTTCATTATTTTTGTCTTTTTTTTATTGAAATTAATGCAACAGAATAATTTGTTATCTTATTCATTGCGTATTTAATACAAAACTAAGAAAAAATTCGAATTATTGAAACATAAATTGATTGCGAAGACATAATTATTGAGCTCTCCACAACTAAAATATAAATTTAAGAGTATGTACATACGTATGTACACTCTCGCAAATTTTTTTCTTCGTCCGGTCGCAACCATATTCTGCAATATGCTAGAAAGGATAGTTCTTCATGATTCTGCGTTTATCTCCAGATATCGTTCTGTAAAGCATAGTATCCAGCACCGCGGGATCAAAAAATTCCTGTCAAACTCCATATAAAAACGAGAAGGACGTGCAGCGCGCCCAACCCGACCGCGAACGGCAAAAAAAAAAAACTTACTTTGCACTAGAACCCAACAACCCCTCCCAACCCCCCCCCCCGCCGGCGGTGTGCGCGGGGAATGGTTGTGTATGTTTGCTGGAGGTGGGCGGGAGCACAACCATTCTGGCAAAATTACCCGATTCCCGCCCCCCCAACACTAAAATTGTGCCCCCGGTTTCGTCCTGTGGGGGCGGGGGCGGGCGACCTGTAGCAGTGTAACCTGGTCTGGAAACAAATTGGACCCCCATAGCCTCCAGGCGCCAACAAGCGCGCGCGCGGCGCGCCGCGCGCCGACATGGCTCGACTCCTATTGATGCTGATCAAGAATATATATATAACACGAGCGGAATCCACAGATTTATATCGATAGTTGCTATAGGGACCGACTGAGAGAAGAGCTGACACCCAGCTCAGGAATATATGTTCAGCAATTATTCCTGAAGTGAATGGTGCAAGATGTAGGCAAAAATTGTCCGCAAAACCAAAAAGAGAGATGAAAATTATTCCTTTTTGTTTTGCAACAACACAATCACTTCATCATCAGAGTGCATTTTTTTCCTTTTTTAAATTTAGCAGAATTTTACAGTTGGCACTGTTTACAAAACACAGCTAATTCAACAATCCTGTTTTAGCTATGTTCCACACCCTCACGGAATAACAAGCAAATTCATGGCAGGAATTTTCCGTGGTGCTGAAGACAGGCCTTAAGGGAGACACACTTACATAGATCCAGCTACGGACGGAGAAACATACATACATATGTACATGGTTATGTCGTCTGGGCTATAGATCATGGTCAATATTATATGTAAATACATAAATATGTACAATGTACATTAGGCTGGGCCAAAATTTGACCAAGCGGACAACCTGTTCTTTATTAGTAAATAAAATTATACAAATTTTTTTTAAATTTTTAGTGTAATGTTTAGCAGTTTCTACCAAGAAAAGATTATACAAATTTTGTTAAAATATACATTTTAAACGAGAAGGAACGTGTGAGTCGCTTCTGTGCACGCGACTCTACTTTTTTACCCGTACTCAGTCAGTATATAGATTTGTGAGCTTATGATTTATTTGGAATTTTAAAATATTTTAAATTTTTTTGCCATCTGGTAGATATGGTCATTATCTACTATAGTGCGATTCTAGTTTTATCGTATCTTCAAAGTTGTGGCTGTCACAGACTTTCGTCCTTTATGAAGGCGGAAGGGGTTGGGGCGAAATTTCGAAATACACTTGTAACAGTGTGATATCACATGAGTCTGGAAACAAAATTTTGTTGCTCTAGCTCTTATAGTCTCTGAGAAGTAGGCGTCAAACAAGACGGACGGACAAACGGACAGACATACAGGCAGACATAGACTCGGCTATTGATGCTGAACAAGAATATATATACTTTATGGGAAACGGATCCTTCTCGGCTTTGCACACATTCAAAAATATAATATACCCCTTAACTCTTCGAGTACGTGTATAAAAATAAATTCGACGGTTCTTTCAAATAGCGTTGAAACTGAGAAACTATTTCAAATTGATAATAAGGTATTTTAATTATACCCGTACTCAAAAAGAGTTAAGGGGTATATTAGATTTGTGGTAAAAGTGGATGTGTGTAACGCAGAGAAGGAAACGTTTCCGACCCCATGAAGTATATATATTCTTGATCAGCATCAATAGCCGAGTCGATAGAGCCATGTCTGTCTGTCCGTCTGTCCGTCTGTCTGTCTTGTTGAGCGCCTAGATCTCAGAGACTGTAAGAGCTAGGGCAACCAAATTTGGTTTCCAGACTCATGTGATATCCCACTGCTACAAGTGTATTTCAAAATTTCGCCCCGCCCCTTTCCGCCCCCACAAAGAACGAAAATCTGTGCCAGGCACATTTTTAAAGATACGATAAAACTAAAAACGCATTATCGTAGAGAATGATCATATCTACCAGATTGCCGAATCTAAATGAGATCGGATCATAATTATAGCCAGAATGAAGAAATTAATTTTCAAATGCTTCCCCTGCCCCCTCCAGACGACGACAACACAACTCATTTTCCATCTCGCTCGCACACTCTGCTGCGTTCAGTGCGCGAGCAACCCCTAGCGGAGGAGATGTAGAATATAAATGGTACATGTATAATCTACATGTTAGATGTATAATATACATAATATATGTAGATGTAGATAACAGATGTAGCAAAGAAATGTAAAATGTCAAATTTTTTTTAATGCTAAAATTCTAAAAAATCATATGTTCAAAAAACTAAATACTGACTGAGTACGGGTATAAGTAGAGTCGCGTCTTTAGAAGCGATTCACACGTTCCTTCTCGTTTTTTTTAGTTATTGTTAATAAATTAACGATTGGTGAAAATCAGTAAGTTCAGCTAAGTTTGATAACCCTAGTCGACACGAGTTTCCTCAAGGAACAAATCCAACTTTTTCTTAAAGATTTGGAATGATTAGAAATGGTTTGATGATATTTTTTTTTCTATTGCAGAACTTTTTTTAAGAATTTTTGAAAATTGGTATTTTTTTAAAGCTTTTTTCAGAGGTAGCGCTTATTTTTTTTACATAACTCTAGTATCTTACGTCTGGTTGTTAAGAACTTTGCTATTTAGAAAAGATTATTAAAACAGCTAGAAGTTAAACCCAAACACCTTGGGATTTCAGCTTACCGTCTGGGAAATATAAAGCATTGAAATGCAAAAGAAAAATTTTAAAGTCCCATATCTATCAGAAAAAGTCGGTTTGGATCCTTAAGGAAAAAGAAAGTTCAATTTTGTCGAGTATTGTAATTTACTTAAGTTGTTCGAAAAGACTTGTGTAGGTTTTTTGCTGCCAATAATTGATTAATGACGATATTAATGGTATTGATATATATGCAATAGATGTCATCGCATATTCCATTCATTTCGCAAAATTTTTTTAAATTAGCTTTTAAATTCGGTATCAACCACTATAAAATGTTCCTTAATAAAAAAACCATTAATATTACTATCTAACCCAATATAACAAAATGAATGGGTGTCCTGTTTGAATTTCGAAAAAAACATTTTTGGGCTCAACGTAATTTACATATGTTCTTTATGGGCTCGGAAATATTTTCTTTTTGCTGTACTCTGTTGATACTGGATATAAAAATACTTTTTTGTCGTAGCCCGAGATTCCTTTAAGGCGTTGGATTGGCTTTGAGTTGCCAGTTAGTCAGTATCTTAATTACAAGAGCTACTTCTCATAGGATTTACATATTTCACAAACATTATTTAGATTTTTTTAATATAAACCAATAAAAATACTAGTTTTTTAAACAAAAACAACATACGTTTAGTTCCCCCTGCTATTAAAGCTGTCAATCAGTTGGTCGGAGCACCTGTAGAAAGAGAGGTAACATTGGAGTGCATTGTAGAAGTATATCCCAAGCCACTGAATGGATGGTACCGCAATGAAGGTAACTATAAAATTCGTTTTCCTAAATGTTCGGAGCCCATTAAAATCGAAACATGTTTTAGGTAATATTAAACTGCACAACGGAAACAAGTACAACATATCTGAAGAAATGATTAACTTATATACATGGCATCTCAACCTAACCATCCGGCACCTGACTAAATCTGATTTCGGCGCTTACAGTTGCTCCAGTGTAAATGCCCTTGGGAAGAGTGAAACTCGTATAAGACTGCAAGGTAATAAAGGAAAAGCATTTTATTTTTTAAGGGCATCGAATTCTGTAACATCATAGAACAAAAGCGTACACGAAAATAAATTGCATACTCTCCTATATTCTAGTCTAAGCTTAGGCACGGGTAAGCCCAATAGTTCTTAAAATTTGAAGCTATCAATTCATTTGAGAACAACATAAGGGGGAGAATGCATAGGGAACAACGTATGTATGTGTCTACGTCGTGTGTATAATTCGTTCGGTTTCCGTGCAATAAATCAACCAGGATTTCCGTCGCTCCATTATTTTTATCGAACTCATTTAAAGACGACTGTAGCCTTTTCTTTATCTTCCATCTTCGTAGTTCGTCCTCGTCTTTCATTCCAATGTCAGCCAGAAAGAGATGGGGAAGAGAATATAAGCATGAATTATAGCACAATCAGCGCACCCTATCTCCTTCACACCAGCTCTGCATCAGCATTGCTGGCGCAATTTCAATTTCCAGTTTTAGTTTAGATAGACGGCAGCCAAGGATAAGCTTAAAGGTTTTCACTTAGATCTTCTAAGAATATTTCACTGTTGCAGCGAAAATGCAGACAGTCAGTTATACCCACCACCCATTATTCTGATTCGCCGCATTAAATCACTCCCGAATTTAAAACTGTGATATAATTGACATTGACGGTAACCAATAAAACCTTTTTTCCACAACTATTCAATTTCGAACAGACTAGAAACTTCATAGCTTCCAACTGCCTACTATTCCTTATGAATTCACCATTCAAATCTGAATACGCGATGGTATAATATCATAAAATAATTACAAACAAAAGCATAACACTGGAACTAATTTCTGAGAGCTGAATTGTGTAAACCCTCGAAGTAATTCTATATCTAAAAAACAGACGTTTTGGCACGCATCCCCACATCGTCTTCGTACGTAAAATTACTCTTATATATGTTTAAAAAAAAAATCAAATTAGTAACATATTTTAACCGTTTATTATTACGGGAGGTATTACGGGAGGAACAAGCTATCTGGAAGGGAATTATATTCTTATGTTCCCGAACATGGATAGGACTTTATACCCTTTCTGAAGCTGTTCGTAACCTCCAATTTAAATTTTGAGTCTGCTTTGAACAATGATATAGAAAACTACAACCCCCAGGTGCTCGTGCTCCTTGGCATGGCTCTCTGATACTCCGCTAGCTTATTTTTGTCTTTAGTTCCATCAAGGAGCAGTCGGTATTTCATAATTGGTGCAATTTCTTCCAGAATTACGATTACCGCCCAAGTCGACAACAACGCCAACACCTCACGTGCACACAACGGCAAAACCGCGTCGGAAGCAGCAACCCGGCCACAACAAGGGACTGAACGAAGTGGTGCGTGCCAAGGAAACCCATTTCTCAAATCAAATGCAGCAGGAGAACGACGGATTCGGCGGTGGGATTGGTCTGCCCCAGAGCGCCAACAGTGGTAATGCTGGTAGCGTAGCTGAAAGTGGAAACGTCAACGGCATGATAAACGGAGCGGAAGGTAAGTTACGATTTAGAAAATTCCACAAGTACATACTGCAGCAGCAGGACCAGAAGCAGTCGAGAATGTAGTCAGGCATAATCGGCAGTTACAAACACACACATTCAATCCCCCCACCGGACCTGCCGACAAAATGCTTCATACATACACATACTTACATACATACATACTTACATATACTCGTACCATCCCAGAAGCGCCCACATGTCTTTGCTCAGCTGTGGGACTATGACTTGAGGCAAATATACGAGTAATGTGGCTACGCTCCTGTTTCCGATTTCTTCGTAAGGAGCTCTTGGTGGTTTTCACTAACTTTTCGATCTTCTCTTGCGTCAAGAGCAAGTGCAGCGAACAGAAAACCACAACATGCCCAATCTTATAAAAAACTGAGTACAGGAAGTAAACGAAAACAGCTTCCTAAAGTAAGTAGCTCCCTTTAAATACTACGAAATAGGGCTTCCTTTCCAATTAATTCTTAATTCAATATATTTGTAGCAAAAGCGATAATAAAATTCACTAACTATATAGAAAAATACAGTTAAATGTTTTCTAAAAGTTTTCATTCAGTGACACAAATTGTTTGATTTTTGGGAAATATTTTAGGATAACTTAAGATCATCTTTTAAAGTTTCAGAGCAATAACCTTAATAACTAGACCACCTAATGCTTTTGTGTTTCTTAATTTAATACAACACTTTTAGAGGCTACTCTATTAGTCAACTCGTTCATTTAAAATGTAGTCTGAGTGTGTTTTATATATTCACTTTCAGTACATACACAACTACCTGCACGTAACGGATATGAAAAGACACATAAGTCGGCTGGCGTTTTACCATCACCCCGTTCACCTTGGAACTTTGCGAGTGCGGGGTCGCAGCTGCTTTCCAGCACTACGATAGTGAAAAACTCTCTGGTGTTTTTTCTTTATTGCGTGTTGTCTGTGTGTACGAGTATGTATGTACTCATTTAAAAGCACGCTACCCAAGAAGTGCCCGATGCGATGCTGCGAATGGAAGGGGATGCAACTTCTGCTATTAAGTTAAGAGTTCTGGGTCTGTCGTTGTTGGTCAGTGTAGATCCTGTGGTTGGGCAATACGTAGTTATCAATTGACTCGTGTGCCAGAAAATTAGTTTGTCTTATTAGCTAGACAAAGAAAATCGAATATACATAACTACATATTGTATGGAATCAAAGTTGGAAGCATTGCTACAGGTTTTATGACATTAAAAACGTAGTACTATACGCATACAATATACATACCTACTAATAAACCTATATGCTACATACATACATATTATTTCGTAATTACCAAACTGACAGGGTACTGAGGTACTTCTGAGGTACTGCACTTCCAACTTTTCCATTTCTAAATGATATAAAAAATGTTAAAAAGTAAAATAATTACGATAGCATTGTTTGAATTTGAATATCACCCTTAAGAAAATTGGCAAACGATATTAAAATATTTCTGGTAAGCCGAGATCCATTTTACTGCATTTCCGCTTGGTTTAAATATGGTACGAGCTTATAACTCAAAATCTAGATCTAATTCTTAGATGGACTGCAATTTATCAAGAAATTACATTCAGAAATGATTTATTGTTTAATTCCCGTAAAATTAAACCATTTTCGCATTCAGCAAATATGTGAAAAAGTTGCCCTTTTTTATACAAGTACAAGTATTATTACAAAGATATTTTAATTGAAAGATCGGTGCACCTGACTGAGAATTGATAATAATTTATTATGGGGTTTATTATAAATTGATTGCTGTCTATTTATTTCAGTGGGATTTTACCGACTGTCAAATTAATATTATTTCCTGTTGTTTTCGGTATGTTGGCCAAAAATGAGTTCATCACATTGTTCTGAATACCAGGTGTTCATCCTGAAGGTAAAATTTACAAGTACATCAGTCTTCAGTAATTTTCCCGCCTGGAATAGGGATTGTTTGCAAGTGCAGTAAATGAAAAAAATTTTTATATATTTTAGTCAATGATAACTAAATTAATATGTTATTGGATAAAACAAGACTTAATTATAGGCTACCTAAGCTAATAACGGAACAATAATAACTTACAAATTTATGTAACAATTGTGAGCTTATTTGCTCACATTAGATAATGTACAGTAATCCAATAATACATACCACACAATGCAATGCAGAAATGTCTTCCGATACAAATGAACAATATGCATATAATAGAATATAAGCGCTATGAGTAGTATAAGGTACTAAAAAATATATTAAAATTACGTAATTAAAGTGTGAAAATGTATATTTAAGCAAATCGTTATGTTCGCTCAATCATTGTAAATATGGTTATAAACAAAAAACATTATACATACATATGTAGGTACGAACAGACAAATTTTCATCAGACACAGAAATATATCTGTGAAATGTCTGTGCCCTGCTCATACAAAATTATAAAACCCGACCAAGTTCACAAACGCCGTCTCAGCTAGATGAACGTTTGAGACCTATTTTTTAGTAAGTACATATGTAGCTGCATATTACTAAATTAAACCATGCAACAGCAATGATTGCGATTCCACAGGCTCGGTAACACTTGTCGAGTGTCTCGCAACGTTGCCCCTGGGTCGGCTAGGTGGGAGGTGGTCTTGTTTTGAGTTTAGTCCATGGCTTATTGGAGAAGTTTGTACACATCAATATCAAAATCAAAAACTACTCTAAGTCCTTCTTAACAGGAAAGTAAGCAACATTTCTATGAATTTGTTCATACAAAAATAACTAATTGTGTTAAAATATTGCTTCAAAAGCAAATTTCTTTTACAAAAAATTACCGGAGATTCCCGGATTTATTTGATGTACATCGAAATGCATTTGATCGAAATTCTATTTGAGTATACTTAAATGCTCCTTTTAAGCCGTGTTGGACCAAAAGCTTCACGGTCAGGTTTGGACTATGTAGTAGATTCGCAGCTCCGCGTCAATAGTTAAGTTCGCTGCTCGGCCATAGTGAACCCATACACATGAATGTAAATACGAATATGTGTTCAAGTGCGCATGTGTCTGAACGCTGTAAACTGCGGTGGCCATGTTTCTGTGATGAAGTTGGCTTTGAATTTACATAAATGTATGCAATCGAGAACGCCATACCAAAGTGGCTGCAGCAGCTTTGCCATTGCCACTGCCATTGCCATTGCAAAGCTGGCTGTAGTCGCCAGTGGCCCATGAACACAATGAAACGGTGATGGTCGCATGGACTTCAGAACAGGGAAAGGGAGCTGCCAGTCGTATTGAGAAGGTGGGGCTCGTGAGTTTGTTGCATATCAGCAGCCATGCCTAATAGGAAGGACTATAGGCGTAGGTGGGTGATACGCATTTGTGCAAATGACGTGGAGTGCAGCATTCTCTCCGTTACTCCCCGTCTACTGTTATTTACCGAGTCCATATGGACAATGGGCGATAAGAATTAAACCTTCAAGTATATTTGATACAGGGGTTTTGTGATGATGGCGAAAACAGGGGAGGGAGACAAGGCAGGCCGTGGAAAGGAATGAGATTTCATGGGATGGAAACCACGGAGGCACATTACCGAATTTTGTGCATTGCCCGATGCTTGGCTACTGTCATTGTCACTAATTTACCAAGAGGAACAGAAACAGAACGGAGCTTAAGCCAGACAGTTGGTTGCACGGCACTTGCGTCCTCCATTTGCGGTCGACGCTTAGTATTCTGCGTTGGAAACAAAAAATTTGCTGATTCGGCTATTGTCAGATGCCCACGCATCCACCCACATATGAGGATACGCTTGCTCGTGTCCACTTATTTTGTTGGGAGTTGGGAGTGCGTCCGTTTGTTTGTCGAATTCGCACTTTGCCAGCGCAAGTGCACTAGCCCTCCAGGACTGGGGCTGATAATGTTTTCGACATTAAATTGCCATTAAATTCTGTTTTATTGCACTTGGGACTGTATGCATAATTTACTCTGTGTCTGCCACCGTACGCTGAATGCAGGAAAGTGCATCGTCTTCCTCTGACTTAGCTAGTAATCTACTACAGCCACCACAGAATTTTCTCCGCTCTTTGTTAAAGGAACTGAATAATAATCTTGCAGCTTTTCGGTCCGCACAGAATTTCACTCTTAAAAGCATCGAGTCCCATATACATACATATGTTTGTACATATGTACATATGTTCAAATGTATGCATATGCGTTCATATGTACATTGTACATACAAATATGTGTTTACATATGTATATGCGTTTAAATCGGATTTGTGTCAAATTCTATTTTTTATACTCGTACGTATACTCGTTGGCCCAAAACTTTTGGGTTGTTCACATAATATGTATAATCTCATATATCTTCTAATTTATGTATACGTCTTCACAAATTTCTAATCGGACAAAAATTCATCAAAAATGTTGGTTTCTTTTACAAGATTTTCTTCTCTTTTTCAATTATTATGTCGTTTTTCGAATTTGGCAATACTGGTGATACCGGTGATACTGAGTATGTACTCACTTTTGCTCCGCACTGTATGTACATTGATTTCGGGGAAATATTTTCAAAACTGTTTCCCGCAGATCTGCTAAATTTTTCACGATACAGACAAGTATTTACAACTAACTTAGCAAAATGGAAATCAGCCCTGCTGGTCATGAACTGCAAGGCCGAGATGAAGCTAAATTTCAAATACAAAAATTCAAAATGAAATCAAAAATCATTTAGGTATCGTGCACCGAAATACACACAATTAAATATCACACACACAACTCCTGGCTATGCCAGCCAATAGAACAGCTAGCCACATAACACGGCACAATTTCAATGCAGTCGTAATAAATTTTGTAATCTCATAATATTCTTGACAATGGACCTGCAACAATGTACACGGTACGCATTGTTGCAGAAAGATATAGGAAAATACACAGATACGTCGTGTACTAATTTGCTGGGACGGATAATTTTAGTTAATTGTATTGTACGATTGATACGTATATATGTTTCATGTGTACACGCGTATTTATTTTGTTGCATTAAACATCACCATATTAGATTGCCAGTCGTTTAGCAAACTTAATACCTTCTATACTTACGGTAAAAAGAATTACTCAGAGACTTACAATAAGATGCGCAGATATCAGATAATGGACAATAAAATAACTAAAACTGTATTGAGGATTTGAAACGGTTTGAATGTTTTATCTATTTCATCAATTATGTACTAGCCAGCCAGAAAATGTAAGTTATTCAGTTTTTAGTTTTCATATAAAAAAACTAAATACTCAACCAAAAAACACATTCAACGAATTTAATGTATAATCAATATACCATTTCTAATGACTACATGACCTTATAAACAAACCAAAATTTAACACAGCTAAACACATATAAATTTAAATATTTGTAATTAGAAATACATACATATACATACATACATATAACATAAAACATAACATCTTACATTCAAACAATAAACAGATACGATACTCGTATTAAGATACGCTAATTTTATTTACATAAAAACATACAATCAATATTATTTGCATACGCGAATACTATAATAAAAGCATTGCAAGTATAAAATCTAACATTTTCAGTACATACAAATACATACATATACTCGTATCTAACGCGAATCCACCATACGCCAAAACATTTATTTAATGCGTTTGCATTACTTTTTCATACGACCACAGCCTTTAAGTTGATGTGTAAGAGCGCTTCAAACATTTCGCTCGACATGACAATAAATTATTTGTTGAATTTGAAAAATAAAAAGTTTCACGTAATAATACATAAATTATTTACGTAAATATATAATCTATAAAGCTTTTATGCGGTAATAATAAGAACGCAATACGAATATATGTAAATGTATCTTATGATAAATTCCATTGGAATAAGGGGAGTATAAAGTTCAACATAGCATTGGCGTTAAGTTAAAGAATTGTATTTAATGTACCAATAATACATACATACATATACCACGAGGTATACAAATATACAGTCAAATACTATAAATTTAAATACAAGACAATAAAACTTCGAACTTACATATATATACACAACAACAACAAAATCAAAATGTAATCTCAGAATTGTATGTATTTACATAATAATAAAAGAATAAAAATGGCACATGGTGTTGTATGGAGTGTTCATCGGTTTTAATTTTAAAATATATTTAAATATTTATGTGCACACATATTATTGTATGTATTATGCTGTTGATATTAACTACGAATATATGAACTGGGTATACCGAAACATAGATGGGAAATTCGGTTTTAATTCATTCATACGATGGATCTCAAAGTATTAAATTTAGTTGTTTTTTAGTTAAGCTTTAATATGAATTCATCGCAAATTTGTCTCTTATCGTCAAAATTATGAATCAAATCACGAAATCAAAAGGGGCATGAAACAGGAGTCTTCACACCAAATTCGTTTGCTCCGTCAGCTCCTATGCGCTCAGAGACTATGTGCATTTTAATGGTACACAACCGAACACTGCAGTGCACTGGCCGAAATGATTTAGCAGCGGATGAAAAGTAATTGCTTCTAAAACAATAAATTTATTTCTTCAAAATGTTGTTTCTTTAATTTTACTGTAAGGAATTTTTTCAATAAAGCTTTTTTTACTTTTAACTGTTTTTAAAATATGGTAAAAAAATATTTTTCGTATGTCCTAGTGATGCTCAACTGAATAAATTCAACAGTTCAAAGTAAAACAGCTATATCTTTTAAAAAAACATAAGGATTTTGATAAAATAATTTGTATTTTATATATTAATTGTTGATAAAATTATTGTGTTTTGGACTTGTAGATACGAAAAATTTATTTAAGCTTTAGAATCATTAAAAAAAAGACCCGCCCGGTCCGGCGTATTTTGTGTGTTTTGAGCTATTTAAATTAAAAAAAAAAAACAAGTTTAAAATTGGTTGCGCCAAGAAATTGGACGAACTTTAAAAAGAGAAATACAGCAAACATAGACTAAATCGGCGCAAAAATAAAGAAAAAAGCGTCGATTCCAAAATGAAAGTTCGTGATTATTCCCGGTACTCAAAAATTATATTATTAAACCCGTACTCAAAAAGAGTTAAGGGTTATATTGTATTTGTGGTAAAAGTGGATGTGTGCAACGCAGAGAGGGAAACGTTTCCGACCCCATAAAGTTTATATATTCTTGATCAGCATCAATAGTCAATATAACCAGGTCCGTCTGTCCGTCCGTCCGTCCGTTCGTCTATTTTTCAAAATTTCGCCCCGCCCGCTTCCGACCCTACAAAGGACGAAAATCTGTGGCATGCACAATTTTAAAGATACGATAAAACTAAAAACGCAGTATCGTAGAAAATGACCATATTTATCGGATTGCCGAATCTAGAATATAAATGGTAGATATAGAATTTACAATGGCAGAGTTTAATCATCAAACTTGCTGTTACCAAAAAGTTTGTTGCTACCAGTCGCAATAAGTTCCAGGCTGCTTTTCGTTCCTAAATAAAACATTTTGAAATCCATAATCATTGTTAAGTAACTCATCGATTCACATTCCTTATCCAGTGCTTTAACTACATTTTTCATTTGTCCTAGATTAATGTGTAATGTAATAAAATGACGTCTTCAAACTTCACGAGAGCTGCATTTTGTATGTTGTAATTTTCCAAAGTATTTTCGTCCCCTTTTGGCCAGAGCTTTCTTGAGTAATGCTCTGATCTAGCTCTACTATCCCATAGGCACAGGAAGCAGCAGTCTTTTGTATAACCACCTTGAGATCCCGTTAGCATGGCTTAGACTTTTAAGTTGCACTCGACCTTTCACTAGTGTTCTTCATATTTTATATTTTCAAACAGTTTAGTAATTTTTTTATATTTGTTTCTTACATCTTAACAGCATGGGTTATGGGAACAGTCGCCTTTTGGTTTCCATTGTATAGAAAAACAGTGTTTAAACTTTCCTTGCTGCTTACAACAAATAACCTCAAATCCAATCTGTTGGGTCATTAGGTTCAACCAGTTGCTTGAATAGTCCGAAAATGTCATGGAAATTGAATATATCATCCTTCTTCGCATAAATTTGTGCGTGAGCCAAATGAAGCTTTTCACGTGTTCATGCGACGAAGAAGATGGGTATAATGAATGAAATTAGCTGTCAACAACACTTAATGACAAAGGACTATAAACAGGTAGGCTATAAATATATATCCATACCTCGGTAAAAAAAATATGACAAGTTCTTTTCGTTTGCTTTGATCCCATTTTTCCCGTTGCAACGAGTTGGGAAAGCAACGTTCCAAATGGTATTTTTTGTTGTATTTTTTATTTTCTTATCCATAGATTTTATACAATATGGCAAGGATTTTTTTTTAAATTTAAAAATAATTTGTTTTTTATTTGGAGGTAGTGCTTCTTGCTTTACCTAACTTAAGTATCTTACATCTGGTTGTAATTAACTTTAAAGTTCTGAAAAGTTGATAAATTTGGACATGAACACTTTATAGCTTCAGCTTCCTACAGTCTGTTAAATGTTAAGATTTCAAGTTGAAAATTTATAATTTTTTGCAATAATGCAATAATAAATGACATATATTGTATTTTTATGAACGATACCTTAGACGACGCATATATAAGTCACCATTGCACAAAAAAAATGGTAAACAAAAACAGAACTAGTATTGTATATACTTTTCCTGAGTTTTTAAAGTCAAGCGCATTAATGTCAAAGGTGACATTTTTTCACTAGGCCAAAGGCCTAGTGTTAAACAATACGATCTTACTTTAATGGCCCTTTGATGTGGATTTCATCGTACGTCCTGAACCGGATAGTAGTTTAACCAATAAAAATGTTTATTGTTAATTTTTTGTTATATTTGGTAAGTTATTTGTTATGTTTGTTTGGTATGTTATTTATAGCAATATTTTTATATTTTTCCTATCAGTAGACAAGCAGCTGCACGCCAGTAAATCCCACTAAACTTTTCTGTCCATACCTAAGTACATTTTCTCGCCATTTTATGGCTTTTGGTTAAGCAAAGTGAAACTTAATTGTGTGCGAATTTTATTAAAATAACTATTTATATTGATCATAGTTCGTATGTTTTTAATAAAAAATATATTGGTTTGCTCTGTGCTTATATGTATGTATTAGTGGTAGTTTGTTGCAGAACTGATGCTTGCCTGGAATAGATCTTTTGACATCCGTACATTACCGCATTCAATCTATCTGTATTTATGGAAAAAGTCTTTTTTAATCTTCTATGTTAAAATAAATGGAGACTACGCGCTATGCGTTCATTTATTAGATTTTATTGGGCAAATCGCAGTGTCAAGAACCGCGCTTTTCGCGATAAGTCGCAACGAAACTGAGCAAGGAATAAGAGTTTAAGCGATTCGAAGCCATGCTTTTACTCAATCAATTGATGAAAACCTGCTCAGCGAAGAACATTGTTAGCAAATAAAAAAATATTAAGTAATTTACCTCTAAGTTTGACGATAACACTACTCGACAAAACTGAACTCTTTTTCGGCTTCGAACCAAACCGACTTTTTCTGATAGACTGGGAGCTTTAAATTTTGGTTAAGAATTATGGTTTTTTTCTATGACAGAACTTTTTTTTGAAGTATTTTCGAAAACTGGTATTTTCTAAAAAGTTTTTTTCAGAGCTAGCGCTTTTTTTCACATAACTTAAGTATCTTACAATTGGTTTTAATGAGCTTTGCCATACTAAAAAGCTAAACATTTCAAGCGGAAAAATGTGATTTTCTGAGGTTTGGTCAACCAGTTTTAGATCCGCCGTCTCTCCATAGATTTTAATGAGCAATACCTTAAACAACCCCGAATTAACACACCTATACACAAATAAAAAAACCCAGGAAATATTTTTTTCGACTATTTCGGATTTTTTAAAGTCAAAATTTCGTAACAAATACCTCACAAAAGTCATCATTTTTGCATTCGAAAGCTTAATATTTCCCAAACAGTAAGCTGAAATCACAAGGTGTTTCCATCTTATTTATAGCTGCATCAATTATCTTATCAGAATGAGAAAGTTCATTAAAACCAAAAGTAAAATATTTAAGTTATGTGAAAAAAAAGTACTACCTCTGAAAAAAGCTTTAAAAAAATACCACTTTTCAAATATTCTTCAGAAAAAGTTCTGCCATATAAAAACAAGAATTATCACTAAGCATGTTTAAAGCTCCAAATCTATCAAAAAAGTTGGGTTGGTTCGAAGCGGCGAAATGGTGTCGGGTAGTGTAAGTGGAAATGCCGCAGAAATCTAAAATATTTAAAAAAGTACACAAAATTGTTTAATTTTGACCTCTACCAAAAACGGATTTTAATATTCCGCTGATTTATATTCCAAAATACAAAAATATTTTTAAAAAATTTACTAATATATTTTTTGAGTTACACTACGCATCTGCTTATAGATAGTTAGCATAAGTTTTCACATTTTACTATCCGCTACTGTATTAGGCTTAAACTTTAACTTTTATTTGCAAAATAATATCAAACTTAAATTTATTTATTTGGTTACTTTAATTAAATGCTAGCCCATATTATTTATAAGTCTTTACTACAAACGTATTCACTTAATGTACATATTAACATGTATAACATGTACAATGTGCATTTTTTGGGAGAAAGCTTAGCGCTGAAGGTTAAGCTACAGACCCGTAAAATGAAAATGACATAAAAGGATTAGGATGAGGGATACTATTGAAGCGGAAGCTTCCATATCAATTTTCAATTCCAATTGTCACCATATGCTAGTATCAAACCAATTGGAAAAAGATAAGTCCATAACTACTGGTCAAAGAGGAAAATGAAAAACCAATTTCGGCAGCAATAGAAAGAGAAGTAAACAATTCAGAACTCTACACCGTCTGCATTCTGTCTGCACGCCAAAGCGATTAGAATGGTTACGGCCACCTAGTTAAAGATGAGCTCGCATGGGTGAGCTTCCGTATGGTGGCCTCTAAAACAAAAAGCACTCTTGTCTCGGAC